TCACCAAGCGTCCCCATCTCCAAGCGTGCCCCGATTGAGACCCGTCTCAAAATGATCTGGGCGAGCCTTCGGGGTGACGGCGGTAAGCAGGTGACCTCGGATTCGCGTTGTGGGAGCGTCTCCACTGGCTTCCGTTAGCTGGTATTGAACGAGGTCTCGCTGAAGAAGCTAAAAAGGTTGGCCACGACAAGGAACACTTGAAGGAACTGAGAGCACTGCTCTCATCGAAGCGCTCACGAGTGAAGACAAAGAGTTACAGGGAGAAGATTCGTTGGAGGACGTGCTGATTGGAATGGATCCTCCATCAACTTCCCAAATCCACGTGCTGGTGGTGGTTCCACGGTCTACGGGAGACGATGACGCATGGAGCCCAATGGATCCTAAGGTTCAATTGAATCTGTGGAAGTCAGTTGTGAGAGTTTCTTCGGAAGATGTGTGCTCAGGAACGGCGCTGGTTGTGGATCAAACGCCGACGCACTTGTATCTTATGACGAACTTGCACATGTGGACAGACGCTACATTCGCTGATCACTTGAGTGGTCACTTCAAGTCTGAAATCAAATGGTATTTGAGACTCTTTCCCTCAATGAAAACAAGTGGAAGGAAAAGGAAAGATGCTGATGTGAAGGATGCGAATGTTGCAATGCAACCACGTCGTAAATCTCCACGGACGACAGCGATGAAAACACCAACTTTATCCGGCAAGCCTCTAGTTGTGGTGGAGCAGCTCCTTCCCGATACGACGAAGCCGGAAGAAGTCATTCGATTCAGCCTCGACAAGGACACATGCTGGTGTAGTTCGGCTGCGTTCGACTTCGCAATCTTCAAAGTTGCTGTGCCACGAGATAACAAGCTCGTCCGATGTAAAATGTCCCCTTAAGGCGTATGACACGAAAGAATGTTGACGTGTTTCGGATTCCCTGGGCGCTCTTTCAAGACCAACATTTTGGTCACGCTTACGCATCCTTTCCAGCTAAAATTACCGGTTGGCGTGGAAACCAAATGATTCTCTCATCTTTGTCAGCTCCCACTCTATCTGGAAGCGCGCTTGTATGCACCAAATATGGAGTACCAGTGGAATATATTGGTGGACTTGATGGCTCAATGAAGAACAAGCAGTATCAATCCTATGCCTTCACATTTCAAGGATTAATCCCCGAATTACCGTCCCTGATACCGAAGGTGAAACAAAGAACGAGCTATAGTCTGTATAGCGCCAGTGGAAGTGAATCCACGTGAATTTTTCTGCAATGGTGATAGAAATAAACTTACTTTTGCGTGAGACGCTTTATAAATGTATTTTTATTGTGCATTTCAATTCTTCTCTTCTTTTTTTCACTAATATTAATAGCCTGATGCTCGGTGTACAATAAAAAGAGGTCGTTTATTAAATCGAGGTCTTGAAAAGTACAAATCAATCTAACTAAACAGTCTGATAAACCGAGCCACGGCAGAATCGACCGCTTCGGATCGATCAACCACCAAATCCACATCGATATCCTGTAAATCGACGCTCTGAAATGGTAATTCGATCATAGATAAAACAAATCGATGTTTCCCATCTCATTTTTACGCGTGGTTTTATGGACCATGCTCGATCTAGGATATAAACGGATGGACATTCCCACAATAATCCTGACAAATATAAAGGTATAGCATATAAATATGACGTATTTACCCAACCAATATTCCGCTAAAGAGCGCATCAAAGCAGCGCAGAAGCGCTACTACCAGCGCACACGCGAAGCTCGTCTAACCTATCACAAAAGGTACGACGATAAAAATAGGGACCAAATTCGTACGCGCAAAAAGCGGAAGCCGAAAGACGAACTTAACAGCAACGAAGCCGAACTTAAGACATAAACCGAGCTTGGCTACTTCGAAATATGTTTTTTACCACATAGAAAGTCAAGCCACATATAGACAGACACTGATTGGCCACCACGCTGACGATTTTGAAGGATGCCCTCGGCGACCTTAGCCAGTATCACTCGTCTGGGTGATGCAGCAAAGGACAAGGGTAAATGGATGGCTTTAGGTAAAACGCAAGTTTTCCGTGCCCTGGCTATCGATCTAATGCTAACCCGCGGTGTTATTGCAACACCCCTTTCAAGCGACACTTCCTTATCATTGACGAGGATGAGAATCATCACTTCGTTGGTTCAGAGTGTGTTAAGCTTTTTTGGTGGGCACTATAAGGTGTGCCTCGGCTGCCAACGCCGGTACAGGGGTTTCTATAAATATTGTAAGGATTGTCGAGACCGCGGTCTTACTTCTTTAAGCGAGACGAAGCTAGAATTTGGCAAGTACAGAAATCGAAAGCCAGAGTCGTCTATGTGGGAGTGGATATCTCCAATACTCACTTCCTATTTAAGTGTGATATCGTATCTGAGGCCTCCAGGCAGGATTTGGCACTTAATTTACTCCCAAGAACGGTTTTTGGAGGCAAAATCAAGTACAGTGATAAGACATTCAATTGGATCAAGTCTCACGATTCAAAATATTATCGCTGGTTGCAAACGCTCGACAGATCGTACACAAAGTATTTTAATTAATTGCTTTTGAAATTTGTTGTATAGGGGTAAGATATAAAGTCGATCCTGATACAAGATCCAAAAATTATAAAGTCATTTCCACAGGAATGGTAGAGACAAGAGTATACAGGCAATGCAAGCTCGAAGGTATTAAATATTGATGCCATTTGCTGGGGCAGTACCTACCGCGTTAAGATGGTACATGTAAGATGGCTTATGTTAGCAACGTTTCCCGCCCGACCAATCAGAAGCTATTTGCGAGGCAGTACAAGATCTCCGTCGAGACCTAGAAGAAGCACATTTCCCCGGACTATAACAAGGATCCCAAGTATCGTTTTTACAACGGCAAGCACATGGAGTCCCACCTGTATGAAGGTATCCAGACTGCTGAGTTCTATGACAAGTTCGTGAACGTGCTTGCTACCCAGACTAACGCCTTCAAGGTAAACACTGCTCTTGGGTACGATCTCATAAGTCTAACGGACGGCAATTTACCCAGTACTGGCACCAGAATCTGGCTACCACTTACGTACTTGAGACCCTGTTGGTATCAACAGGCGATCTGACATCCTTAAGAAAGTTATCTCAAAGATAAGGTCAATGGAGCTGCGTAATACGCTAAACTATCCCAAATCGGGCTATAAGCTCAAGGCGATTACTGGGTTTAAGATTTACATATACTATGTATTCCGTGGGCATGCACTTGGTGATAGTGAAGTTGTTATCCCTAAGATAATACGCGACAACAAGTACGTAATCAACTTCCCCAAGACCAACAAACAAGTGTGTGTTTCCCTGTATCGCGTGGAGCTTGAATCAGCATGCTATTATTGATCCTCGTCGGATCCAGGCTCATGTTTAAGGAAGT